TCACTTCTTTGGTTAAGTTAATTCCTAGGTATTTTATTTTTTGTGGGTTTATTATGAATGGAGTTGCTTTCCTGATGTCAGCCACACTGTGAAGAAAATTTTTGTAGTCAAGTGATGACACTGAAAAGGTTCAGAGATTTACAAAACATTGTTTTCAAGGTCAAATCAAGTTGGAGGCAATCGTTCTGCATTCCATTTATAAGACCTAGGTAACATGTCTTGGTAAAGCTAGTACTAAAAGTGTCTCTCTCTCTTTTTTCTTGGACAGGTAGTTAGAATACCATATAGAACTCATTTCTGACTGCCAAAAACAAAATTATTTTCAGGCTATTGATACCTACAACCTTGTGGGCTGACACCTTACTTAACTGTTAAATCACCTAAAGGATTATCTTGTCTTTCTTTTATGTGAATTTAGGAGTGCAAAGCTATTTAAAATCTCTTCTCTACAGAAATTCTATTAGGAGAATTATATTTCTTTTGCAATCTTGGAAAGGTCTATCCCAATATATTCACAACATAATTTTAAAGCTACTTTGGCTTATTTTTTAAAATTTTAGATTGAAATCTGAGAGACAGAATATATTCTATGTATGTGGCATGAATTTACCATAGCTCTACAGCTCAAAGAGTTCTTTAAAGCCTGTCTGGGGGGCTGGGAAGGTGGCACAGTGGTAGAGCGCTTGCCTTGCATGCCTGAGGCCCTGGGTTCGATTCCTCAGCACCACATAAGCAAAAAGCAAAAAGCCAGAAGTGGCGCTGTGGCTCAAGTGGTAGAGTACTAGCCTTGAGCTGAAGAGCTGAGGGACAGTGCCCAGGCCCAGAGTTCTGGCCCCACGACCGGATCCCTCCCCCCCCCCCCAAAAAAAAAAAGCCTGTCTGATATCCTTGTAAATTACTGTATGTTAGAGTCAACACTCAGCTATGGATGAGAGATGTAGATGAGACCACAAATAAATTGTACTCTAATGTACTACCCTCTACATATTTTAATATTCACAAACAGATATATTGTGTTTTCATATACTAGTATCCCAGAAGGAAATAAGAATAAAAGAAAAAGATTCATTGTATTATTAAAAATAGTCTACAGTCAGAGCACAACTGTGAGAAAAAGAAATTATTGAAGCATAGTTCAGGTAATTTGAAGAGACTGATGCTAATAGATAGGGAAGCCTGAGCACATTCTGAATTATAAAATGAAAGAAAATAATGGGCCAACATAGACAATGGCAATAATAACTACCTCTCACTGTCTTCTGACTATGCAACAGAACTATATTCAGCCGTTACTTAATGTTCATTGAATGATACATTTGTCCACTGAATAACTCTTTGAGTTAATAATACTTATGTGCCTTCTATTATAAAGGAAGATGTTTAAAATTACATAAGGTTGAAAGTGTTCATATCAATCCCATTTTAAAGACTGGGGAATTGAAATTTAAAGACTGGGAATTGAACTCAGGGCCATCTACCAGTTGAACCAGACTTCCCATTCCTTTGGCTTTAGATTATTTTTTAGATGAGATCTCACTGACTTTTCTTGGGCTGACTAGGATGCTCTCTTGTTCTCTACTTCCTAAGTAGCTACAGTTATAGACAGGGGCCACCACACTGGCCTATGAAGTGCATTTACAGGCTTACTTGTGGGTAATAGTGTCAAGATTAAGATTGGTTTTGTCTCTTTCTACAACCTGTGGGCTTTACAATTTATTTTTCTGCCCTTTTGGTAGTATTCTTCACTCTTTGGTTATTTGTCATTCATCATCATTCTTCATCACGTTGTACAATATAGTCTTCTAGGCTGCTGTGGTATTTTTGTGAGTAAGAAAGACACAATTCCACTGGTTATATTCTAGAAGGGGTGGATAGTATACTCATAAACCTACAAAGGTATAGCAAGTGTTAATGGATGCAATAAAGAAAGTAATAGGGGGACTTAAGATCGCTAGATAAAAGGTGTACTTCAGGTTGTTCGATGTGATGGTCAGTGCTAGAAAATGTACAACTGCCACTGGCACTTTGATAGTGTGGTTGTTTTCTATCACAAGTGTCTTGATTCCTTGGTTTAAATGACATAAATGCTCAAGCTGGTTTTGCTAGTTCCTAGAATATGTCTGGCTTAAAACTTTCTACTTTATTGCTGGATTCACTACATATTTCTTTTGTTTTTCACAACCAGGAATTTCTTGATTCAATTCAATTTTTTTATATTCTCAATAACCAGGCAAGTTTTATGTAGTTTATGGTATGTATATTATCATTATTGTTCCATATACTATAGACACTGCCACTCCCAATTGCTGAACATGAGAGAGACATAAATCATCAACCAGTAGTTCTCACTAAGTCTCAGAAGACTCACTAAGTCTCACTAAGACTTCAGAATCCTTTTTCCCTGTAGTCTCAAGGTAGTAATTGCCAAGCATTTGAGGTTGCCATGAGATCTGAGATCTTGGTTAGTAACTTTCTTAACAGTAAGGAATTCTTATTAAGTTGAACAGTTCTAGGAACAAGAGACCTGGTTTTCTGATACCTAGCTGATCAGTGTTGTACATGCTGACAGCTGTTAGAATATGGCTCCATTCAGAGATTCCTATGTCTCTCATATCATTAGATAGTCCCAAACACTGTGACTATATGTGCATTTATACATATCCATGGACACCACAGTTCACATTGACCTATTTGGAATGTATTCCAGGACCCACAATGAATGTCTGAAACCTGGAATAGTGTTATATGCTATGCACACTATGTTATTCTTATACGTGCATACCCATGACCCATCAGGGACATTCCTGCCAGGGCTGGCTTTGAACCTTGTTCCTCAGATCTCAGCCACCTGAGTAGCTAGGATTGCAGTATGAGCTAGTGGTGCCTAGCTCCATGATTCTTAAGCAGTTATTAGAAGAAACAAAAATGGGGGGAAAGTATATATTAAAAATACTTTGTTTAATCGGGTGAGCACAAATGTTTGGAGTTATTAGAAGAATCTGTTTTACCAACAATTAGGAAAGTAAAGTCTTATTATTAACACTTGATGAAGGATATTAGTTCCTAGCAGCAATCCTCATGATAAAGGCAGTACTGTTGTCAAGGACTAATGGCATGATTTTAATTGAAGAACACTTATATTGCCAAGTATATGATGATGGTTAGATGTGTTCAACTTGTTTTTGCTTCTCTCTGAAAAGCTAAAATCCTTCTTCCCAGTAGTAATTAAAAATAACAGCAGTCATTAAGTTACTGTGGGGTTCTAATGGCCACAACATTGCTTCCTTGCATGAGTGACTTACTGATCTAAAGCAAAGCAAATCAACACTGAAATTATCTTGAAAATTAAAAACCAACCTAGAAAAGGAATGGTTTCAAATTCTGTAGTACCAGTTAATGTGTAGTTTTCCTTCTTTTATGTATTATTCTGAACATATACAACTTGTACAGAAGAAAAATGTTCCTGTAGGGATTCCACATCAAGAACACAATGCCAATCTCAGATTCGGAACTCTATAGCCCTGAGGGACATGTCCTTTCTCTCATCCATCCATCATCTATCTATCCATCCAATCATCTGTCCATTCAGAAAAAAATTTATTTTAAAGCTTCTTTGTGCTAGACATTTTCCATGTGTATGAGGAAACAAGAGAAGGGGAAATTGATTGTAGTATTGGGATAGCACTTGATTCAAATTTGATTGGTTGTACTAAACTATAAACCAATTCTTTGTTATTGAGTATTTAGATAAAATGATTTTTTTAAAGACAAGGCTATAAAACAACTGAGTTGAACCTCATTGATAATAAACGTTTGTCCCAATTTCAGATTATTTTCAGGCAGTGGATTTCTACACATAGAGTAAATAGATCTAAGGGCAAAATGCATGTGTCTGGAAAACCTTAGCAAAGTAGATCCCAAATGGAAAAGCATACAAAAATATTGTATCCTCTTAGATTGCCACTGACACTGTTTGAAAAAAGTTATGTCCATTTCCTTGCCAGTATTAAGAATGTAGGAATTCTATAAATATCATCTCTTGTTGGTTTTTAATCTTTAAGAGATTTAAAATGTTTCTCATTTTAAGAATAATCAGTGATGATCAAAGCATTTAACTGATAATGTTAGTTTATCTTTAACAAGACATCATCCAGATAATGTTCTTTCATATAAATACTAAATTTTAAAGTCTTAAATAGGTTATAAAAAGAGCCATTGATTTTAGAAGTTTATTTTTCTGAAAAGATGAAATCTTAAGTTATCTACAAACAAATTGGAAAAGCTGAACAGTAACATAAAGAGCAAAATGTTAGAGCTAGATGTGGTAGCGCCTATCACTCAGCTACATGGGAAGCTGATATTAGGAGGATCATGGTTCTAGACTAGCCTGGGCAGAGAAGTTCAAAAGATTCCATCCTAAAGAAAGAAGCTTGGTCTGGTGGCATACATTTGCCATCCCATCCACAATGGAAAGCATAAAACAGGAGAATCATGGTATACATACACTCCTGGTTAAATAACCAAAAAATAGCTAGTGCCAAAAAGCATTGGAGTTATGTGGCTCAGCAATAGATTGCCTGTTTAGTAAGTATGAGGCCTTGATTTCAAAACCCAAGTACTGCCACATAAAATGAATAAATATTTACAAAATTTAATAAAGATTGCAAAATGCAACTTTTTTGTGAGGCACATAAAATTTCATAAGTATATATTTAGATCTGATTTATTAAATGAAATAGCAAAACATTATATTTGGTATTAGTGTTTTTTATTTAAGTGCAGAATTTCTACTTACAGAAATATGAAAGGAAAGAGAAACTGTAGATAGGCTTTACAAGGACCTAACTACATTTTACTTAAAAAGGAAGGTATGGAGTGGCTTCAAGGTAAACCTATCTGTTGTATCTTCCTAACGTTTCTGCCCTTTCTGAGTTTGTCTGTTTAGCTGTTGGAGGTTTCCTTTCTGTTCTTATCTCAGCAGTTATTCTGTTTATTTCCAGAACCATAGGACATAAAAACCGGTATGTCAAAGTCCCTCGTGGTCACATTTGGGTTGAAGGTGATCATCATGGACACAGTTTTGACAGTAATTCTTTTGGTCCGGTAAGTCATCTTATGTCTTCTTACTGATATAAATGGATTTCAAAGATGGCACCAAGTGTAAGTCAGAGGGGTTGCTCGGGAAATTTAGCCAAGACAGATTGGAGGTTTTGTAATATAACAATATATGTTTTGAAATGTCTTTGTAAATATCATAGGTGTTTTGAACCTATTGAAGTACATGTGTGTTTGCTTATAGCTTATGAGAAAATAAAAACCTTAAAGACTTAAAAGGACTGACACATGTTCTGCGCTGGTTGACTGGGTCTAGTTAGAACGACCTTCTTTACATCACAGAAATAATTGGTAGCAGTTTGCAGTTAAAGACATACAAACCACAATTTTCTAAATTGTTTAAAAATTGCATAGTGATAGAAATCCTATCGGTCAGTATTGGGTAGGAAATGAATTCCCTCTTTGGATCCCCGCTCAACCTGAAAAACTAGATCAACAATGACAGATTAGCAAGAAAGAATTAGAAACAATTAATATAAGCTTTATGTGACATAAGAGTCCTCATAGAGAAATGAAGACCCACATAAGTGGCAACTAGGTTAAACAAAGGCAAGTGACCAAATTATAAGAAGAAGTTTCAAGAAGATAAGACCTATCTTGACACGGTCTCGGCCTACTGCATTCTCTCAGTAGTGACACCATCAAAAATTTTCCTTGTCTTCTACTAGGAGCATAACTGCCATGGGAGAGCTTTGTCGCCTAAGTTTAGGAACAAAAAGGGGAGATGAGCATGCCCTCTTTGCACCTGCCATCTTTCCAAAGTGCCTTTAATCCTCCAATCAATGTGGCATCCCACTCAAAAGTAATTGTTAGCATTATATTAATAGAAATACTAACATCATTTATTTTATTACTACACAAAATATATAATTAAAGTGATATTTGAAAAGCTTTATTCCCCCTAGTTTTGTCTAAAAGTAAATGCTGGCAGTCTCAAAACTACCTCTTTTACATGTTATAAGGGGCCAATTTATTGCACTTAAGTAGTGACAATACTCTACTCTGGCTAAAAGAACGATAATAGAGCTGAGATTGGATAAGTGTAATAGTAAGCAAGAGAAAACTTTAAGAGACTTTTCTACTTTATATAGTTATACTGAAAATTTTTCATTAAACAGCCCTTTAAGACCTTTGTCTCTGAATAGTTATTACACAAAACATCAATTAATCTTAACAGTAAGTTGTCCTGAAGTAAGATAGTAGACATGCTGGAAATGTTTTAGGTACTTGTAATAGAAGGGTGTATTATCATGAAATCTGGTAGTAACTTGACAGTGAAAATAAGTTACCTCTATATAGTTCTGTTTCTTTTCCATCATTCTGTATATATATTCTGTGTATTATTGGTTCATACTGTTGGCCAAGGCCATATTAGAATTTTAGTTCAGTTGGATTTTTACTGGCTAGAATAGTGATTTTGAAATGATGTGCATTTTAAAAAGTGCTATTTTGTTATTAGTTGTTGGGTATGTGGGAAATAGTTTGAGATTTGTTTCCATGGTTTTGTTATTATACTAAAGGTGATATGGTACTGCTCCATATTCGTATTATTTTAACTGAGTTGTTTCCTTTGTTTGCTTGTTTGGAAAGGGAGTCTAGTGTTGACAGCCAGGACACTGGTTGTTGCAACAACTTTGAGAGTTTATGAGTTATAGTACAGCTCCAACAATGTGCCACTTTCTGTTATGCACTTAATAGTACTTCTTTGAAACATTAAACTATGAATATAATAGTACTTAATGCCATTTGGTTTAAATCCTGTTTTGAAATGAAATCTATTTGTTAATTATAATTGAAATCAGTAATTGGCTACAAAAGCACAAACTACTTTGAAGTCTAGCATTTTTTTATTATGAATAGAAAAATATTTATGCATGCTGATGCTGGCTTTTGACATGAATTGGACTAAGCTACTGATTTTCACTCTGTAGATTAGTATTGTTTTGTTTTACCAAAATTAGCTGAATTATCTTTTCAAGAATGAAACCACTTGATACATCTTCCATCAATGTATCTTTGTTTTCTGGAGATACACATATATATGTATATATTAAAAATGTGCTTTTATATTTTCTATAACTAAGAAAACTCACTTTTAGTTTTTAGAAGGTAGAGGAGAAAACAACTTTTCCAAAATTCCCATAATCATTACTTAAATCTTAATTGACGATTTTTGAATATTCAGAGATTTCTTACTGCATTTTCCAAGAATCAATGATTATCTAAATAATTTGTTAATGATTTTAATGTTTTTCTAATTCTAAAACATAAAACCTAGGTTTTATATTAAACTTAATATTGAAAATCATATTTGTATAAGAATTTTCAGAAGAAATTTTAAGCATATTTACTGACTATATATAGATTAATGATATCCAGGCTTTCTAGATAATTCTTGGTCATATCTTCTAGGAAGAAGGTAATGTGCTTTCCTTGACATTAACAATATATTTAGAAGTAGCTAGAGTTATTTAGAATGGTTTTCTGTAGAAATTGAAACTTTCAATCTTTATTTCCTATACAACTTCAGAAGTTTTAGTAGTTTTATCTAGAATCTACCCAGTTTATTTCAACTTGCTGCCTACAGGCAATCATAACAGCAGGCATTCTCCATACTCAAGTAGACTAAGAAAATGATTGCCTCATTCTTTGTATTATTGTATTTTATTATTTCCTATTGTTAATATAGTTATTTGCTTTTTTAAAAATTTTATTTAGTCATTTGCTTTGACTTCGTTTGTTGCAACTATGTAGGCTCAAGAGGTAGTAGGCTGTTATGATTGATAGGTGAATAATTGGTTATTAATTTAAAGAGAGCAATACTAAGTTACAACAATCAAATGCATTACAATAGGAGAGAAATCTTAGAGAGCTTTTAGTGCACACCTATACTTCTCATGTGTTTGGGATGTCATCGTGGAAAGAAAACAACTGCCTACAATCATAGACAATAAATTAAAACAGAAAAGTAAAGCATCATGTTTATGGGACTCTTAGAAGTTCTTTTGTTCTGTGAAAGAAATTAGTGTGTCTCCCTCCTTTCTTGCTGTGGGTAGAAGACATTAATAACATTTTCTAGAGCAGCCACATTGTCTTTTGCCAGCACCTGAAAATAAACGTTATGGATACTGATGATGTTCTGCTTATTACTAATGAAAGTACATGAAAAGTAAAATTTTGTATTTATCTTGTATACTTGCTGTCATAGCTCTGAATTTTCAAGTAGTAATTTTAACTACTTCAGATTACTCTTCCATCGATTAAAAATGCATGTAGAATTTCTTTCTTCTATCTATCATAAATATTTACTTCACTATTCATATTTGAAGTGTTCTCATATGTAGTTATTTCTTTGGGTGGAAGCACAAATATATCTCTTTCCATGGCCTCAGTTAGCTTGTATATTTTCTATCTGAAGTTTTCTATCATTTTTAGGATAGTCATGAGCTGCTAAGATGTTTTTCCTGTGTTCTGTGTAGTAACTTGTCATGAAGAAATAAATTGTAATAGAAATTCTAGCATCAAAAAAGAAATAACATAGGTCCCATGGTTTCCTTTATTTGCAATAACTAGTATATGTCTGAGTCAAGCAGAAAAGGCCAGATAAGTTGATGTTAAGGAAATGAACCCTAAGATATGTATTCAAATGTTTTTTTCTTTAATGCGATTGTTTCTAACACATTTATAAGATCATTTCTTTGCTGCTTTGTATGTCCCTCCCACACGGTATAACCCCTGCTTTCACTGTATTTGATGTCGGTATAATTTGTGGAGGGGAAGGGGAAAAAATCATTTAAATAGGGATACAGGTGGACCTATTGCAACAGTGAGACTTACAAGTCCTTATGTCAAAAACAAAATTTACAACTTTGGTGGGGGAGGGGGAGGAGGATTGGTTGGGGAGGGTGGAGGGAGGATGGGAAAGGATGGGAAGGGGAAACAAAGGAGGAGGCTACAATGCTTGAGAAGAAATGTATTCATTATCTTGCCCATGTAATTATAACCCCTCTGTACAGTATTTTCACAATAAAAAAAGAAAAAAAAGAAATAAAAATATAATAATGTATTTGGTATTTGAAATAAGTAATATGTTTTAACTATATTGTTCTATTTTAATTACATTCATCACAGGATATTAAAAGAAAAAGTCTTGGTTTAAACATTTCACAGCAAAAATAACCTCTCCAGGATGTATAAATGCATTTTGACTTTTAGGTTTGTGATCATGGTGTCACCTTGTGAACAATTTGTGTGCAGGGACCATGAAGCAGAACTGAACAATTTGAGTACAGAAATTATCTTGACATACTGCCTCTATCTCAGAATGGAAACCATAAGTTACAGTAAATATGAATTTCTTCTAGTTCCATGTTATTTGAAAATGAGCTAATCTAAATACTTAAAGAATAACTAATTAAATAAAACTTAGCCTCCTAGAACAGTTTTGGAAAATATAATAGATGTTATTGGCAGTAACTGAAAATTAGAAATACAATTTATAAATGAAATGATCTGATAGTATTACAATATAAGGTATAGAGAAATGAGGATTAAAATTCCATAGAATTCTTTTGTATATTCAAGGATGCATTTTTTTTTTTTACTTTTCTAAAAATTAGTGGAAAACTGAGCACCAGAGGCCTATAATACTAGCTACTCAAAAGACTCAGATCTGAGAATTATGGTTTGAAGGAAACCTGGGAAGGAAAGTCCATAAGACTTTTGTCTCCAATTAATCTCCAAAAAGCCAGAAATAGAGCTGTAGCTCAAGTAATAGAGTGCCTTGAGCACAAAGCTCAGGGACAGCTCCCAGGCCCAGAGTTCAAGCCCTAGGATCAGCACAAGAAAAACTAGTGGAAAAATAAACATTTCATATTAAAGCCAGTCATTTATGCTTTTATTGACACATTTTTTGAGCACTTTCTATATGTCCATCTTGATGTTAGCCTGTGGATTCTCACAAGTGAATGGATCAGAAGCAACAAGAA